TATCTTGATATTCAGGCGTTTAACTAACAGTAGAAAATTCACAATCAACGGAAACTGATTTATCATACACAAAAAATATATAAAGGAAACGAAAAGACAGAAACGGCAATTGACTCGCAGCGCAGCCTTTAATTGCCAATAGAAGTTTTGCGTTAATTACGATCGTCATATCGTTTGTGGACGGATAGGGTGTATAATAGTTGCCTACAGTGTCGTGTAAAGATCTCTAAATACTGAAATAATAGTAAAACATGATCACAAATTAAATTTCTGCAGAATTTTATTGCAATGAAAATAGGAGCGTTGCGCGAACTAAGAACTACAAATACATGCTTCTTTTTGCTTATATATTGTCGCTTTAGAAATTAATGACGAACATTTGAACTGACATTCCGGAAATATTTTTAGCCGTAAGTTTAACGACCTAACACATATTATGAGATATATTCAGAAGAAATGCAAACAAGTCGGTTTTTTCGCCAACTCTGGGCCGATCCATAGATCGATTTAATTGATGTATTAAGTTTGTGCGGATGTTTGCAACGCCTAAAAGTCTTAAGATAGGCTCACCTGTTAATGTGTTACAACGATCGATTTAGAATTACTTTCTGAAACGATCTAAGCTCGTCTGTCCGTCTGTCTTGTCTTGTTTTCAACCTACAGGTCACAATTTCCGAGCTATTTTGATGAATTTTGGTACGAACACTATTTAAAATTACAATCGGACTGCTTTTTCGACCACTTCCCATATATTCCCTATCGTATCCAGTCATATGAATATCGTGATACAAATAATCCGAAAATCTATTTATTTCAATTTTTACGTCTTCAAAATTAAATCATTTTAAGATCTTCTGGTGATCAGAAATTTATAGTACGCTTAAGCAAGCATAGTTATAACTAAATGATAAAGCGAAAAATATCGGTATAAAATATGTACCCTTGTCCATATTTCATGGCTTAATGATTAGTTCAAAAATTGAAAATTAGTAATGCTTTCATATAGAATGCATCAGGTGATTGCATAAGTTCATGGTTGATTTTCATAGATGACGTTAATATGTGCCGTTTTGAAAAGATTATAGCGTCTCATATCACTTTATTGCCAAGTATCATTCAAATAGATCAGTACATAAGAAAGCTTGCCGTGGGAAAATGTTTCGAAATGGAGCACGTAATGCAGCATAAATTTCGTCAAGAGTTGAAATTTTCGATTATCATCTTTATTGATCGTAGTATGCAGTTCGATTGAAAAAAATCAGAATTCCAAAGCGAGTGTCCAATGTTTTATTACGATATGTTTTGCGGAAAAACGTCGTCGCCTTCTTCAAAAAACGAGTCGATAAGCTTGTAGATCATTATGTAGTAGAAACTATTACAAGGAGTGTGCCCTTATTAATAAAACCATTCTCTTCAAACTTTGTTTGAATCAATCTCGAACTTATTCATCAACCTGATATTTAATTGCATTTGTTAGACAGAGCTGAAAATTGTTAATAAATTGTTAGTAAATTGGAGTTCGTTACTTATTAGTGTGAAGCTGAAATTTAAATTCATAGATAAAAACGCCCAAGGGTTTTCAGGGCTTGGAGTTTTCGTTAAGTGTCGTTCCGAAACACTCATAAGTTGTCCTATAAAGAAAATTTATATTTAAACAGCGTAAGATTTAGCTTTGTTCGACTTTCCGTTGATCAGTAATTTATTGTTAGGGCCTTCGCTAATGAAATACGATGCAATTGCAACTAAATTGCAATATGTCTTTCATAGTAGATATATTCTGTGTTGATTTGTACTCGAACCATTCAGTCTCATTGGTAGTTAGCAGAATGTTCAATAAACCATTTCGCTCGATACAATGTCTGTCGAAAATTGATTGAGGTTCATCCACTCTTTTAATTTTCTCTCAACACCCAGCGATTCAGCTTTCGACTCTTCTGATACCGTAGCTTACTTTCTGTTTAAAAGCACAAGTGAGCGATACACACCTGTCCGATAAAACGTCGTTTAATTCGATAATTTTGTCGACTGCCGGCTTGCCTTTGGCCATAGATATGGTAGCAAACACGGCGGGATCTGTCTATAATTTTCTCTACAATCTTTTTAGATAAATACTTACGAGCGTCGTCTAAAGTGCAAGTGTGAAAATGGATGTGATTAACATTGGCTCTACGTATTCACCTTAGAAATGCCAGAAATTTTTCGGAGAGGCATTGAAAAGCTTAACATCGGTAGTGTCACGATGCATGGATTGGCACGCCCTTACAACATATTTTTTTTAATTTTTGTATACATATACGCTTGTTGTGGCGGACTCAAAGCAAATCCTCAAAGTTTTATAAATAGCATTTTAACTTTCTGAATTTTTAACACCCAAAAAATACGACCTATCGGTTAAGCAGATTTTATTCCACGTCTTTCCAACTACATTGAAGCATGACTGTGCACTCTGTGCAAATGGGATGGCGTAAGACATTGTTGACATGAAAATTATCTATGCTAAGCATATTTGTAGCTGTTGTTGGATTGCTCTCGGTTGTGTCATAGTGTTGCGTGAAAAATTGGCTTTGAAAATGGGCGCATGTGTAGCAAAATTTCGTCAATTGTCAAGACTACCTCGTGTGTTAGACAATACACAAAAAATTTCTTAATCCTTTTCTTGTTTCTCTCTTTGAGAATTTTGTCAACGCTCTTCTAAACAAATGTCAAAATATTATAGTCAGATATTGCCGACCGTTAAACATCCTACATTAATTAATTTAACGAGTTAGAAGCGTATGATGATGTTTGTCATGATCCGCCCATTTCTCCTTGTCAGATTTTCTCATAAATTTTATCATTATGAATGTATATTTGTCGTGGTAATATATTTTAGAAAATATATTTGTCACTTTGTCAAGTCGTTTCGTCAAAACTTAATTGCATAATACACACATTCTGTGTTTAACGAGTATAAGAGGATATTGCTGAAAAGGTCGACACAGTTAACTGCTTGATGCAATTCTTCATTGTAATATATTACAGTCAAAAATTTGCTTCCACGTGAAGGGCGCCGTTACATGGGGAGAATCCAAAACGTAAGCGAAAGTAATTTAAATTTAGCAAACCTAATTTTCCTCTGTTTTTGTGATGAAGCACTAAATATTATACTGTGTTACGATATAAAGGCACACTTTCCATGAGAACGCCTTTGTGACCTGGGATCTATGTGATCCAAGTTTGGTACAACTAATTTTCACGTTAATTTACTATTATTGATTAATTTGCCTCATAACAACATATCAAATATTAGAGGGAAGGAGAGTCGCAGAAATGCCCGTATGTGATTCAAATTTTTCACAGCACTTCAAGATGTCGAAATATTATTACTCAGAGAATTTTGAAATTTTGACCACTATCACTTGTTTCCATATAACGACTCGATCAAAACAGGGTGTTGAATGGGGAGAGGTCGTAAAAATGGTTCGATCAAATTAGACCTATTGCCAAAACACGTCTGTGGACTCCATTAAAATATCTCTAACATTACGGCTTGTAGTTTTAAAATACAACTATATGGACAGATATCAGACGTATGGACAGACAAGCTTAAATTCAGGCAGAAAATGATTCTGTATGTGTTGGTACAATAAAGTATGGATCTATGTTAAGCCCTTCTAGGTGTTGCACACATCTACACAAAGTTAATATGCCCGACACCATAAGATGAGGTATAATAATTTTACTATTTTTCAAATGGATGCACAAGGAATGGGAAATTCTGTCCTCTATAACTAATGCAGCTGTTTTCACAGCACGACTATTCTGTGTGTAAGTAAATTTATGTACTTAAGAAGACAACAAGTCTTCAAGTGTGATTATTGCAAAAGGACCTCTTGAGTAGATAAAGGTACGGAAGAGAAATAAAATATTTCCAAGAAAATAAAATTCTTACAAAACGTAGGAAAAGCTGAACAAAGAAATTAACTCCTGCTGTTTAACACCTGATCAATAATAGACAATAGCTTTTGATGGCATTCACAAATAAGGAAGTATTATCAGGTAACACACAAAAAAACTTGCCTTCAGTACTTGTTGTTAAGTGCATAATGGTTGCATTTCGGCAGTTAGTTGAAGATTATTACACAACGCTATGTATTTTTGTGTCGACAGAAAGGGAGGCAGAAGTAGAAATATTTTTTGTATTTTTTGTATTTTTTTTTTTTGTTTTTTTATCTATATATGTTAGGATACACTAGCGTCAGTATGTTTCCCATTTTCAGCACTGCTTTCTAACAATTACGCGAGTTGAATGTGTGTAACAGGCAGTGTAAACTGGTAACAATATTCAGTACTTGAGCAAATAATTCGGTTACTTGCTTTTATATATATATATATATATATATATATATATATATATATATGTATATGTAGGAAAATGTTACTTAATTGCGTTCACCTACTTAAATCATAGCTTCCCAGTCGTCTCAAAGAAATATGTAACGCACACTTCTATTAACACTGGAGGGAGTTTTTTTCAAAAATTTGGTTAGCGATTTGCTACATATTGAGGCTAACTCCATTTTTTTTTTTTTTGCCGTCTTTTTAGTTAGCAGTTAGTAAGGTATTCCAAAAGCGTCACTAGTAGCTGCCGTCAAACGTTAGATAATACCATGGAATACGTAAGAGACCGTTAAGCGTTAAAGAAACGTAAATCAGCAGCTAAAGCAACAGCAACCATCAGACAAGCCAAGACATAGCGTTTGAGTGAGTGAGCAAGTGGTAGTTTTTATATGTATTTGTAACTCAATCAAGACTTCCTATATTTCGAAACATGTTACGTTCGTAACATAATTCACAACAGGTTACTTGGTACTATTTAACTGTGACTGAACGCGCTTATCTCTTTTTTTCTTTTTTTGTAGTTTATTTGTCTATTTTTCACAGACTGTTCGACTGACTAACTGACTGAGTGAGCGAGTGAGTATTTGTTTAAATGGTTCGTTGGGTTACTAGGTGCTTACCGTTTGAAGTGTTGTGTGTGGCTGTTGTTAAAGCTTTCTTTCTTTCTTATTTGGTTTTTATTAATAATGTTTGTGTGGTTTCGCTGTTGTTGTTATGATTATTATTTTTATTATTATTATTGTTATTACAACGCCACACACCGTACGTATTCATAATCTTATGACATTTTCTGTTTGCGTTACTCAATTTCCGCAAACAGATCTGTTTAGTCTCTTTTCTTCGCTTTTATATGCACTTCTGCTACTATTGTTGTTGGTGTTGTTTTCATTAAATACAAACATTTAAAACATTTCGATTTTTCCTCTGAAACGATTTCGTCATATCATTTTTTTTTTTTACTTTTTTATTTTCTGAGTGGGAATGTAAGTATTTTATGTATATACAAATAATAGAAAAATTTTTCCTATAAATGATTTCTTATAACAAGTGCTGGCGTATTTTCCATATGCAAGTATTTATTTATATTGTTAGAATTAAATAAGCAATTTCTGTCTGGCGAGTAAGAAAAATAAAATAAAAAGCAAAAAAAAAAAATAAAAATAATAAAAATAATAATAATAATAATAATAAAAAATGCTTTTTTAAGCATTCATTGTGTTGTTATTCAATTATCATCATATTAAGTATAAATTCTATTCCCTTTTTCCCCCTTAGCCAACCCACATAAATTTACGGCAAATGAACTGCAGGCATGTAAATTACTGATGCTGTTGTTGTTGTTGCTTGCTTGCTCGCTTGCTTGCTTGCTTGCTTGTCGTCGTTGAAAAGATTGAGGAAGTGTTTTTCTACAGCACAAATATGTGATAGAATCAGAAGCTTTCGATCAGCTTTAAATGTCGTCAAAGTAACAGTAACTGCAAACAGCTACATTCAACATGCACATAGCAAAAAAAAAAAAAAAAAAAAAAAAGGCAAAAACAATAACAATCGCATTCAGCTGTAAGTGGAGCACATCCATACCAAGTCAAGTGAAAACTAGTTTAGCTTCCGCATACGGTGGTGATTAGCTCAACTCACCAGTTGCTAAACCAAAGAAAAAGCACGAGAAAACGGCAGAATACAATGCATTACTACTTGAGTACAAATAACCAAGCAAAGCCTACATATATAAAATAAAAAAAAGCCTTTGTATTGCTCCTAGTAAGTTAAACGGACAGAGAGAAAAAGACATTTCTTTGCATGCGTCATACATGGAAAACGGAGAGCTGAGAAGAGAGCTCGTTTAATACAGAGAAAACAGCAACAACGAATATACAACAGGTTGGTATTAAATTGCTTTAGATGATTTTTGGGGGGAATTCAGCTAACAGTAACGTGAAAGTGTGGCTTTATCACGATGATTGATGTAGTATTAAAATATTTCTACATAAATAAGTTTTCCATAGTTCTTATGTAATCAATCGTTCGTTGAGAGCGAGAAGCGAACTCTTAAATTTCCGCAAGCCATGTATTATTTTACTAATTTAATTATTTCCTATTCATTGTCACGAATCCCAATCATTGCAAAGTTTCATCATCAATTGGAGATTGGATCTATTCGTTCACTAAATCTTTACAACTGGTCTCTTAAATGTTTGCTTGCAGTTCGTTACCTATATATTGAAGCGTTTTACCTTTTATCCCAACTTTTTCGCCACGGAATCGTTAACAACACGCTTTATCGGCTTAGAATTTTAAGTTAATTGTTCTCTTAAAATAAATATGGAAAGTCTTTATTTTTCATCTCTAACAATACATTGCGGAGGGATGGGCGGACATGCTGAAACCGACTCGGCTAATATCAAAACTATATCATTTTCTTTTTTTTTTTTTTAATAGTCGCCGATAAAAAATCCTCCATTTCCTTCATAGATCTAAATTATGTTACTTCGTTTCACAATAACACTTAGAGTTTGGGCGCCCATTCGCTAGGCTGCCATCACTATCTCCCCTATCCTTTTCTCTTCCATCACTTCTTTCCATTCGTGTTATCGTGTTACACGAACAGGGGACATACCCCGCTGGGTGATTGATCATAACAAAAAAAAAGCAGTGACTTAAACCGAAAAGAATAACAATCAGGTTTAGATTCCTTATAGAACATTTTAATGTCACTTAAGAGCTTTGTTCAAAATAACATATCCAATGCTAACCATTGTCTTTTAAATTAAGCACTAAAAGCGTGGCCATCACTATATGTCCCGTACAGAGCTCGCTGGCTTTAGTATAATAGTGTGCCGAAGTGAATAATAATGTTTATCTACCTATTCGCTTGTCCGTATATGTTTCTTCAATTCGAGAAAAAAACTCGAAGTCTTATCATATTAAAAAGTTTTATCATATCTATCTGTAAAACATTTATTTGATTACGTTAAGGAGGCGGGATATGCTTATGAAGCCATGCTATGTAAAACTTTTGTTTAACATTTTTTTTTTTTCGCCCTCTATTCTAAATAATAGAAATTGATCTGAATTCAAATACAACGACGTCTAGGATCAGCCCCTTGATAGAAGATTGCGATATAAAATATAATAGAAATATTTCTTCTTACTTTAAAATTTAGCAAATCAACAATCGATGACCGACTGTGATGTGTAGAAAAATAGACAGATTTATGTAAAAGATTTCTCAAGCAGTTTACTCCAGCATAAGCAGTATATATCGATTTCAGCTTTAAAGCAAATATTTATTAATGTTTAGCAATTAATGACTATACAGATTATCGATTAGTTAGCAGCACTTAATAGTACTTGATAGAGCTAATTGTGTGAAATCGATCTGAAATTTAAAACGAATGCTTAATAGCGCCGGCATTTCAAGGTTTGTTGACAAAGCCCTAGAAAAACTTCTTTGATTCTCAAATACCCGTCATTAGCTTGGCAAGCGTAACGGAAATAACAGGAGGTCTTCCAATTTTACTGAGTTTTTTTATTGCAAGCATCCTTGTTAATTGTTTACACAAACAGCATCAAACATCTATTTGATATTTTTTTAATTACATCTTTAAAGAACGTCCAAGTATAGCATGGTCAACTTGTAGAAAGTGCCGCCTGTCTTTTCAAACACCAAACTGATCGGTTGGTAAGTGGCATGCCATTGCATTGACAAAGGTCACTCTTTATGACATCTCTGCGAGAAATTTCACCGGGCAGTCCTTATAATTGTTTCGATGGACTAAGCTTTGAATATTTGCTTAAAAAAAAAAAGGAACTGCGAGTTAGACTTTGTAAAACTCTTTCATGTTTAGCATTTTCGTTTTGTCTTATTGTCATATGGTAATCGATATTAAGTAAACTAATTTAGCTAAAGTTTTTTGATGTTGAATTCAAAATGTATATTAAATAAGTAAAATAAATGGAAAATCTGTTAAAACACCTTACAACATTTCTCTTGATGTAGTTATTCATATAAAGGCCTTTCAAAATAAGGTATTAAATGGGAACATCGTTGGGCCAAAACACGTCGATGTACCTGATTTCATCAAAGTATCTCATAGATTACGAACGCTAGGTGGAGCGCAAGAAAAATCTTGAACAGATAGATAGATAATCGTAGAAGGGATTCTTAATCGATCGTTTTAATACACGTGGGGTCTATCTCCACTTCTTGTGGGGTGTTGTATGCGTTCCCACAAACTTAATATATCCTTTTACCTCAAGTGGTAAAGTATAACTACGCAAATGTACAAAGAATGAATAAAGGGAGGCGATCTAAAAAATTCCACGTAGGAAGGGAGCGAAGAACAGAGAGAATTATGCGCGTTTCTTGATTATATGTAATCATCGAAATCGTCTTGTAACTGGTTTGTCGGAAGACTGTATACTTCCGCCGTATGACTTCAATAAGAGCAACAGGAGGCGTAGGTGGCGAAAGAATCGAATTGTCGAGTGCCGCCTTTGAAAAAAGACTTCTCTTTAATCGAACTATTGCAAAACTGTTAACGTGTTTTTAAAAGCAGGAATAATTTAGCAATGTACGGGATAGAGAAATGCAAGAAAATTCATTTAAGATTGCGTTTGGAACTATTCGTATCGTCCGGGTAGTTGAAGATGAGGAAAATAATTTTTTATGCAATATTTATACGCAAGGGTTAGGATAAGCTTTGCGAACTAATATGACTAATGAAGATTTTGCAATTGTTCTGATAGTTTGGGTTAGAAAAAAGCATCACATCGATCCCATATTTCCCGATGATAGCGAAGAAAAATCTTTTGACGATTCTATATATAGATAATGTACACGTTTCAAGAAGCTGTTTACATGGATTTATTATGTGGTTTTTTCTTCCTGTTTTTTTTTTTTTTTTTGCCATTTTAAATTAGTAAATAAATACACCTACGCGCATGCGCATGCAAAATAGATTTGGATTATGCATTATACCGTATCTTCTTTGCAAAGAGGTATTCAGTTTGTTCTAAACAAAAAAGTAAGACCTTATAACCCAGTGCAGTTAAAGTAAAACATTGTGTTTTGTCGTTCCGCCCATAAAGCATTTACAATAACAATAATAACAGCAACCACACTATTATAACGTCTTGTATTTGTAATGCCAACGACAATGCGTCGCATCAGCGTCATTGTAGCAACGCTGTCTTATATTAGATTTGTCTGGTTTGTACGCAGCCAGTGTAAAAGGCTTGTAATTTTGTGTCTGTTTGCTTATTCACCTTATTCTCTCCGTGTACTCAAAAGTGTATGTACATATCAGCCAATATTTGTGTTGTTCGCTCAGTGTCTTAATGTCTTTGTGGAGCAATGCGGAAGTGAATTTCGCGTTTTTATATTTACTTAACTTGTGCTGAATTTTTTTTTTTTCATTTTTCATGTTTTACGTTTAACCGCATATTCATTCCCCGTTGCAGTAGTGATAGTAATAGTAGTGGTGGTGGCAGTAGTAATAGTAATGTGATGATAATAGGAGTAGTAGTAGTAGTGGCCGTACTAGTACTAGGAGTAGTGTTAGTAGTAGTAGTCGTAGTAGTAGTAGTAGTAGTAGTAGTAGTAGTAGTAGCAATATTACTAGCTGTGCATGTGTGTATATAAATACAAATAGAAATATTAAAGACCATCCCAACGCTATCACCACCTCCTAAGATAGAAGAAAACACGCTTTAGAACAATCATCATCAACAATGTTACTGTCGTTTACGTTGAACGGCGTCGACGTCTCTCTTGCTGGTTATATGTACACATATGTCTGTGTACATATGTACGACAAGGAAGGCGTTTTTTGTACGCTTGTATGCGTCTATGCATATAAGAAGTTTTTTAGAATAAATTTTATAATAATAGAAGAGAAAAAAAAAAAAAAAAAAAAAGAAAAGAGGAACAACAGCAATTATAATGATCGCTCAACGTTACGTTATATTTCGTTTGTAAATAAATTGGCCGAAACAATTAGAGGTAAGCAGATCATGCTCCTTCTCCTCCCCATCTGAATTAAATTATGGGGTTTATTGCTTTGCTGCTGTCCGGTTCGAATTGCCTAAAGAATTATTATCGACTTAGCTTACACCATAAAGAATAACATTTTGAAGAGGGAGAGATAGAAGATCAGCCAAAAGATGCACTTCGTGCAGTCCTTGGAGATTAATTTAGAAGAATTTATTATTAGTTTCCTTATCCCTTCCGTTCAGGCTTATCAAACTCGAAGCAGGAACAGTTATTTTACTAGCAATTGTTTATTTTTTGTTTCGCGGTCGGTTCTTTAGATAAGATTTCATTTTCTGTCGTTCAGTATTGCTGTTTCTGATGTCACTGTCGATAACAACGCGACATTGTGTTTATACACGACAAGTATGAATTCCTCTCCCTCTCCCTCTCCCTCTCCCTCTCTCATTTCTATTAGTAAATGAAGTATGAGTATGTTCTATTAAGCGATCTGTGTATTGGACTTAGAAGCGTATTTACAGAGTGTATGTATAAGTGTATATGCTTGTGTATATGCGTATATCTGTACTTAACTATATACACTAGCCGCGTTTCTGTTTTAATAAAAATAAGCAATAATACTTCCTATATCTAGGTATTGCATTTGAACATTAAGGTGATTCAAAAAATTATCTTTCAACAAAAACAAGAAATATTCTCATAAACGCAAAACCCCCGGTTGACTATTGAATTTGCATTTCGCATATGTTTATTAATTATGTTTAAAATGGTTTTTAGATTGATATCGACGCAAAAGTTTCGAAAATCTTTACTTTTTCATACCCTACACCGCTTCATATACAAGCGTATATTAAGTTTCTTCCATGTAACACATTTAAAGGACTTTATACCCTACACCATTTGTGGGACAGCGTATATTAAGTTACTGCGATCGTATGTAACACGCAGAAGGGCTTACGATAGACCCATCTTTTATTTTATTATAGTTTGATTCAGAATCAAAATCTGAATTGATCTAAGCCTGTCTGTCCACCTATCCTGCGGATGTCTGTCCATGAAAATTTGTGTTCAAGCTACAGGTCGCCGTTTATGAGATATTTTATTAAAATTTAGTACAGTAGCGTGTTTTGAGCCAAGGACGGACGCTATTTTTCGACCACTCTCCATAAAAATGTAATTTTCAAAATTTTTTGGGAAAAGTGGCTAATTAGTAGTATTTCGGCATTCCAAATTGGTATCCAAACTTTGGACTGGCTGGGGCAATTTTTGAACACCTCCCATATAACGAAAACTGAAGTTCATACGACAAAAAGGTGTAATATTCAATGCTTCACGATGAGAATTATATCGTAACAATAATTTAACACAAAAAAAATTTCACGAAAATTGATCGTTTCTAGAGCAGAAGAGTCAAGTTTTAATATGTGGTGATGAAAATTGATCCACAATGTTATAATAATTTCATGCAAAAATGAATTCTACAAAATTTGGACCATTTGCGCTTATTTTTCGGTTCTGGCCTATATAAGGACTAAACTTGTGCGGCCTTCCTCGACTATAATGTTCTTGTTTTATTATACTGATCTAAACTTGTCTTACATGCGAGGAAATCTTTATGGAGGCCGATGGACGATCGAAGCTTTGTTACCGGGCGATCCGATGTTATTCGCTGAGCTATCCTATACCCTGTCCTACCGACAGTCTCCTTCGGCCCACTATAGCTAGCGTTTTTACTTATTTTTATTTCCGTTTTTCCGATTTCGTAAACAATGAAGGCTGCTTTATGGGCGGATAAGCGCTTATTTTTGAGTTTGTGCTTGTTAAAGGCAAAATGGGTACTACTGAATACTGCCGAATCCGAATAAGCCTTTGTCTCTTTTTATGCGAATTTTTTTTACATGAAGCAGAAAAAATAATAAAACCAGAGATAATGTTGAGGATTTTGTACAATTCTTTTATAAATTCCGTAAATCACATAAATGATATAAATTAACTTTGCAGAGTCAACTGTTTCTTTTTAATGTGATCTTAATTCATGAGTAATTGTCAGAAAGATAGGTTTTGTGTGAAAATAAATCAACGCCTACTTTTCTTTTTTCTTGAACCCTCTTACATTCTCTGATAAATGTTACCGACACGATAAAATTAGCATGCCTTCATTTTTAGGTAATGGGTATATCACTGTTGTTGCTATTTTTTATTTGCCTATAACAGAATAAAAACTAAATGTGCTTAACCAATTAAATATACAATTTACTGCAGTTAGTTCCTACTCGTTAGAAATAATAAAAAACAATAAAAAGGAATTATGTATTATCTCTTAAAAAAAGCGAAAAAGAAACATTTCTATTTTCTTACAATAAACTTTAACAGTTTTATAATATGCGTTATAAATGAAGTTAATTGGATAAATTAGGATCTCCAGCTAAGAAGAAAAGGTATAAATTGTTTTACTTTAATGATTACCGTGGCCCAGAACCCATTTAATCAACATATGTAGCCAATGCAAATATATATGTTTGTCGTCTTATCCCTTTTAAATCTTTTCATAATATTGGTCATTACTTTCAATTTTTTTTCAGTTACTGGAAAAGAAGTTCCATCTTATTGAATCTTTAAATAAATACATTCGTTAAGTATTTTTAACTTTAAAACAAAATATTCGTCAATCTAAAATTACAATAAGAAAGTAAGCACAGTATAAAAAAAACTGGATGTAAGAAACCCTACATTAAGAATGAAATCACCTAAACGCGTTAAGTTCGTCGTCGCTAAAGCAATAAATGTGTCAGGAAAATCTACCATATGTACCGCAGAACGATTCTCTGTTGGAAAATGTGGAAAATTCGCCAATTAACAGCCGCAGAATAATAATTTAAATAGCATAGGAAAGTAACATAAAAGATTTCAAAATAAAAGAAAAGAAAAAACAAGATTGGCAAAAACACAGATGAAACAAATCTGATTTGAAAAAAAAAGCGAGTGAACACACCGCAGCGGGAATGTTTTCACCACCCTGCAGTTATTCATATTAGGACTTTTCAAAAGAAGGTGTTATATGGGAAGTAGTCGAAAAGGCGGTCCGATTCGGCGTTTTGCCAAATTCCATTAAAGTGCTTCAGAAATTGATTGAACATAAAAAACAATACAGACAGGTAAACGGTATATTAAAAGCAGGGTCTATCTCAAGTCCGGGTGTTGCCTACATGCCCATAAATTTAATATGCGCTTGTACCATGAGTGGTGTAGAGTACAAAAAACTGGATAATTTTTGCTTACTTACGTTACGGACCGTTCATGGGATGTTCGCACTAATATAGGGTTGACGAAGATGACCTCAGTGACTCCGTTGAAATATCATACTTGGAAGCACATGTGTTTCAAGTGTATTCATAATTCTGAATTAACTCATTTTGATATATGTACATATGTATGACATAAATTTATAAAGCATTTGTTTACATTTGAATACATGTTTGCGAATGAATCACACTTTAGCACACACGTGCAATGCAAACAAACTAAATTGCATCGATTTCGTCGTACACTAATTATCGACGCTGTCAAATTGAGTACATGTCTGGTACAAGAACGAAGAGGTAAAATCATGCATTTTATGATGACTCGGTCAAAATTATAAACTGATCGTGATTAACATCTTCACGTAACGGAAACGAGATTTTTTCCACGACTTCATTTGGCATTAATAACATCAACTCCAATGCAAACGCTTTAAGGGCAGAATAATTCCATTTTCGAAAATAGAAATTTTTCTACTTACGCTCTCATAGATAAGAATCTTTGCTGACCGGATCATTATACTGCGGCTCGGAATCCTTAATCTAAAGTCTCTTTAAGAGATCTGGTTTTTTTAAAGTTTACACCTTTTACTCATGTTTGTACACGGAAAGTTCTCGATTCACATAACAGATACTTTCTATAAAAGATCACAGAGATTAAGTTCATGTAAATCGAGTATTGCAATTTTCATAAGCAGTAGAGAGGTTAGTTCCGTCCAACCATAAATAATGCAAATCGATCCAAAACAATAAACTAATTTAAGGTTGACCTAAAGAAAATTAGGCATAACATAAGGACAAGAGAAATTGGTTTGTTGATGAAATCTCTTATTAACATGAAATACGTAAATGCCGACGACTGTTGAAAACCTTACACACATCTAAATTGTCCAAATTTTTTTTCTGTTATAAAGAAAAGTTTTTCACCGATTTTTGTTGAGAAATACTCAAAAATTGTACTTTCTTTACGCCTTTTTTCCGCCTCAATCCATTTTCAATGCGGTTCGTTCTTGAGTCAATGCATGTTAGTATATAAACCAAATTCCATC